AATTCACTAAATAAATCAATTTGGAACTGGAAACTTTGGTCAGTTGCAATCATTCGAACATCATCAGATGTTATGGAGCTTTTCTAGAAGGAGCTTAGGTAGCAATCGCTTTAGAATACATGAATTTAGGCACTTTGCAAGATGTAATTAAGAAGTCAGGAAAAATCCCTGAAGGCATGTTAGGACTCATTGCCTATTAACTACTCAAAGGTTTGGACTATTTACATCGAACAAAGAAAATCATCCATAGAGATATCAAGCCTTCAAATTTATTGATAAATAGTTAAGGGGAAGTTAAAATCTCTGATTTTGGTGTAAGCGGCTAATTACTAAACACCTAAGACCAGCGATGTACTTGGGTTGGTACAGTTACTTATATGTCTCCTGAGAGATTTCTGTGTGAGCCCTACTCTTCGAATACAGATGTCTGGTCCTTAGGACTCTCTTTACTTGAATGCGCTTGGGGGGTTTTCCCTTATCCTCATCCTGGAACCAACGATACTACTCACTCCCTTGGGTTTTGGGAAATCAAAGAATACATTGTTTCAAGACCAGCTCCTCCATCACCTCCTGATTTTTCCTAAATTGGAGCTGACTTCATAGCCAGTTGTTTATAAAAAGATCCAAGGTAGAGGAGGAGTGCTGCAGAATTGCTGGTATATCGAATTTATATATATACTAGGAACACCCTTTTATTAAACAATTTGAGGATGTGAGTCTACAATATTTAGAAGGTTGGCTTAACATTAATTAATGATTTAAAATTATAATACATCATTTGAGATGTTTCAAATCTGAACTTGATTCTATATTCTTGACCATGATTCCTAATTGATTGTTTATCTCAATTAATTGAGGCAAGGTGCACTTGAACACAATATCCTTGTCTTTGTTGTCTGTTGATTTAGTGTGCAATTAGATTTTATATATTTCCTAATACACTTTAATTAGCATATTTGGAAGACACCACTATTTCCTATTGCCAATCAACATCTACTAAGTAATTGAAACCGATTTTCGATTCGAAATTGGCTGCTATGATGGCATTGTCAGGATCATTGACAAATTGTTTGAACTACGTAAATTTCTTGATATATCCATCTACGATAGTCTGATCAAATCCATAATCATATAAATTCGTAGAGATTTCAATTTCCATTAATTATAACTTAATGCATTGAACTGTGAATAGCAAAATTAAATTGAATAGTTCATTTGTCAAAGGTTCTGAATTCAATTGATCCAATATTTTTGTATTGTTTTCTTCTCCAGCCAAATTCATAAACACACATTTAGATAGTTTATCGAAGTTTTACTAAGTGAATGGATCTTTAGCTAATTAGCCCAATCCTTTTGCTACTTCCTCAGGGATATTTTTTGTCTCTTAAATATTCATCTTAGATGATTATAATTATATATTGAAATATTTTAACAGAGTGCATATTTAGAATAATACACTTATAATTATTAGCATTCTAAAATCAATGCAAAACATTATGAAATTCTAGAGAGACGAATAGTTTTGCAAAGGATAGCATGAAGTAATATAATTAAAAATCCACTTTATCATACTTATCATGATGCTTGTTTGTCCAACTCCTCTAATTTCTTCACATCATCATTTAGCAAAGCTTCGTCCCATGGATCCAATTCTCCTTCCTCAGCTTTCCAACCTCCCCATCCCATGTCTTCTATTCCGACTCCCAAATCGCTGAAAACTATCATTGGAGCACTCTATTCGATGTGAATGTTCAATAATCTAATTAAGATGGCTCCATTACTTTGGTTTAAGATGACGATCATTTGGTAAGGGGTAATGCAGAGTCTTGGCAGCAGGCAAAGGAGGGTGATGAGGGCCTAGATAGAATGGGGCGCCTCCAATTAGTTGGGGTGGAGTGTTTGTTGTCCTCTTTGTACTCATATTAATTTTGTAAAAATTAGTTAGATTGAATATAATTGCATGTTAATTTAAATAACTAATGGGCAATTGTTGTAAATAAACTGGTAGAAAAGAATTTCTCTTCAATTCAGCTCAATGACCTCTTATAAAGGAAATCTCTTCTTCTTGAGTAATTGCAAGTAAATTGAATATCTACATTCCAGCAACTTTAAAATCCAGTTTATAATCAGACTTCTCTTTAGATCAAGATGATTACTTGGATCAAAGATTCTCATGACCTTTTTGATTACGAGAACACTAATCGAATAGCTTAATCTCTGACAATCAATTCTTCTATTAAATTGTATAGAGATAAATCGAGTGGAAAAATTCAATCGACTCAATAAGGGAAGACATTAATCAGAATTGAAAATAGACAAAATTGTTTTTGGATCGAACCAAGAGTATGTATTTGTATGTAAGAGTTAGCAAGCCAAAAAACGATGACCATCATGTTTGGTTAGTTATAAAAATCAATTTCATAACAAGAAAATGGTGTTAAATTACAATATAATGATGTGATACGAGTGGGTAAGGTGGAAATAAAACTGAAGGAACTTCATTTCGATGTGAGTGAGAAGAAATTAGATGAAAGAGAAACGATTCTCAGTCAAAGTGTCGATGATCAACGTTGTAGAATATGTCTATTAGGTTCTGAAAGTATCGATGATCCTAAAATTGAACCTTGTAATTGTTCTGGAACTATGGCTTTGATTCATTTAAAGTGTTTATAACATTGGATTGTAACTAAATACAACATGGAAAGTAGCAATGCAATAGTGTTTCTGTGGGATTTGATGAAATGCGAATTGTGTCGATAGTAATTTTAAACAGAAAATTACAACTCAATGGTTAAACAGTTGATTTGGTGGAACTAAGCAAGAGGTAATTCCAGAGCTATGCAGTATTGGAAATGAAGAAGCCATTGCTGAAATCAAAGGAAAGATTGACCTATATTCTCAATTTGGAAAAACTTGAATAATTCAAGATTGGAAGAGCCAATGATAATCATATTCGATTATGCGATATTAGTGTGAGTAGGTTTCATTGCAAATTAACTTTGGTACAAATTCATTTTGTATCATGTAGCACAATAAAGAGTTTTATATTCAAGACAACAATTCTAAATTTGGTACTCTCCTTAAGTTGAAGTAATCGATGCCATTGTTGAAGGAGTTTTAGAATGTGCAAGTTTAGGTTGGGCGAACGTTGTTTGAATTCGAGAACGTAAGCAACGGTTACTAATGATTATTAAATTTATTAATGTCATTTTCTGAATAACAAGGTTAAGAGCTGCAGATAAGGAAGGCAGATTTGGATGATTACGATGAGATTATGTAATTGATGCAGGAAGAGGGAGAAGAGGACTTATAATAACTCTACGCATATCCCAAGATTCTTACATTATTTGAGAGATCCTATTTGTCAGTCACAGTGCTTGATTCGTAGAATAATATTATAGGAGGGGGCAGTCTTTGATGATTGTCCTTAAGGTGTTACTGGATAGGTTGATTTTAAGCATGAGAATTTGTGGGAATAATGGATTCATGATGGCTGGGACATTGGCTTTCATGTGAGTTCATTCAACTGTCTTTGGATGACTTTCTTTTTTCTTGGTATTCTTTCTATATCTAGATCTAGCTAAGAAGCGATTCCAATTGACTGAAGACCAACAGTTACAGATCACCAAACAAATCTTTCAAAAGGTCTATGATTATTTGAATGTTGTCAATGGGATCTTCTTTTTGAGGAGGAGTGAAGCAATTGATGCCACTCAATAAGAATTGGATATCGCATTAGAGAATTTATTTGAAATTCTCCCAAAAAGACAAGATTTCAAATTGAAGGTATATTTAAAGTCTAAAATAATAGTTCATGCAAGGAGTGAATCAGAATTGTGAGATCTACTATTCAGCGTCATCTATGGTAACTGAATTGTTGGAAATTCGTATGGCTCGTGAAGAGGATCATGATGATTTGGCTGCCATCTTTAATCGTCAATCAGATGTGCATACTGAAGAGTTCGGTGAATTCTTCATTGCGGACTTAATTGCTACTCAGAATCAAACTAGGAGATAAGCTAGGAATTATAGGAGTGATGGAAAGGCTATTGTAGGATAAGTTGGAGATAAGGCAGTGGGATTGATGAGTATTTCAAGTGATATTGAGTAAGAGAATAGTCTAAAGTAGTTATCGTCTACTTGGATAGTGTTTCGATTTAGAAGTGTTTGACAATCTCTACAAATCAGAATATATGGAAGCCATTAGAAATCGACTGGATTAATTGGCACTTGAGGAAACAAATCAACAAGCAGATCATTACTTTACAAGAAGCACATTGAATTGACCAAAGAAGCCATGAAATGTCATATAGTTGGACAAAGACTCTATTTACAATAGTATTGTTTTGATAGAGACTAGGAGATTAAGCAAAAGATTGATGATTATGGGTAAGAAGACTTAGCTAAAACACTTACATAATAGGTTGTGACTAATATGATCAACGGGTGGTTGAAGGATTATCAAGTATTCAAACCCAGTGATCTATTTCTTGAATATCCTGATTCATTCAAGGATTTAGAATGCATCACCATTAAACCAATCCAAGTTTTATTGGAAGCCCTTGAGTTCTTTGGATTACCCAAAGGATACATGAATGGAGAAGGCCATTGGAAAGATTGGGCCAAGAAGAAGGAAGAAGAGTAAAAGGCTCTCTCTCTCAAAAGACCAAAAAGATAACAGAAGAAGACTAATAAAAAAGCAAAGAAGGAGGATAAGGATGAAGACATTTTCAAACCACCTGCCTTATTTTGATTTGGGACCATTCTTATAAGCCTTTACTAAATTCACATCAGTATCAGCTGAAACTAGAACACAATTTCAGAAAATAAATAGAATCAAGGGTCAAAGAGTTGATTATTGGAATTCTGTACTGAAAACGGAGAAATGGATCCTAGTCGTCATATAGATTTAATTGAATTTCCAGATGTACTAAGAAATAAAGGATTTGACATTGGAGCACCTTTGGGAGAGAATCTTGCATTCATATTAGAATGTTTTGGTGAATTAGAAGTAGACAATAGGATTGTGTAAAAAATAAAGGAGGAAAAGGATGCCAAAAAGAAGGATGCCAATCTTTAAGAAGGTTGGGTGATGATGCCACCTAAACCTTGTTGATGGTTTTGTAAGAAAATGACCTTCATTATAGTGAATTTCATTGGGAGCCCCATTTAAAAAACTAAAAAGATATGATTAAATGATGTGC